AATTAGGGAGAGCTAGCGCAGATAGCCCTCGTGTAGCTTTGCGCGAAATTCCAAAACGAACAAACATTAACAATGAATGCAAATGATAGAAAGGTCAATACATACAATCACCAAACTGTGTGGACACTTCTCTCCTATTGGGCATTTAGTCTGACGTTATGTCGACCTTTTGCTAAGAGAAGGGATTCATAGAATATAAAGTTCAATATAGCAAAAAAGAATCATGAAAACAAAATATGAACAAGTCAAATATAATACACTGTAGTTGTCGCTATAAATGCCTTACTAAAATATAAATCTCATAATTAATATTGAAAGTGAATTGTTCAAACTCTACCTAATCATATGTTTTCTGCATAAATCCAAAAATTGTACATTATAAAGTTGAGAACAATCTTCAGATCTCAACTGAAAATTTAAAATCTATGTATAAAAAAAAGACTAAATATTGATGTTTCAATTACTGGTAATACAAAACTCCAGTTAGTTACACATACCATAAATGCAAGTATACACATACCACTGTTCAAATTATATCCAGTATACAATAATTCTGGGCAATAGTAATTTTCCTATAGTTTTGTGGAAGATTGGCCATGGGTGATGCCACCCCACCCAAATGCCATAGTAGAAGTTGGAGCAGTCTAAGTGGCTCTCCTTCACCACTCTCTTAGAACTAGATCCTGCTGTCATTACTCTTCCATTTATTAATGACTGTATGGAGGCAGTAACTGATTGTATAATTCAAGCAGCTGTTCATTCTATCTCCCAAATCTCGACAAGGTATCTTCGTCCATGTTGGTCACCTGCCTGCCAGCAGGCATGGAAGGCTCACAAATGGGGTTGGTATATCCCCCACTCTTTCCGACACTTTCTTTCCAGTGAGCCTGTACCCTCGCTTGGCAGGTCAGATGACAAAGCCAGAAGGAGTCTTGAATTAAGTTCACCATCAGCATCTCTTCTACCACAAGATTCGAAAGGTCAATGAGAATTATGCTTCCCATCCCCTTTTCATCTTGCTCTCCAATGGCCATGAAGTTGCTGATGTACAGAGTATCGCCTGTACTCTCAGGGAGAGCTTTGCTTATCTTTCCAGTACTTCTGTTTGTTCTCCCACATTCTTGGCCATCAAGTCTCGGGCTGAGCGATCGCGCCTTTCCTTCTAGGTTGATTGTCTCTATGATTATAATCGCCCATTTACACTAGTTCGACTTGAGCTTGTTCTTCATCGGTCTGGCAGTACATCAGTCGGACCCGAAGATGTTCACTATGAGATTCTGCGCCATTTCTCTCGTACCACTCTTGCTCTTCTTCTGGTTGTTTGTAACTGGATCTAGCAGTGAAATGCATTTCCAGATGCTTGGCACAGAGCTACTGTTCTTCTTTTCTCAAAGCCTGGGAAGTATGCCAAAATTTCTTCTAATTATCGTCCAATTGCTTTGACTAGCTCTTTCTGTAAGGTCTTGGGAGAATGGCTAATGGTTCCTTGAGTCAAACAATCTCCTATCGCCCACCCATTGTGGTTTTCACCGAGAGTGATCCACCATAGACCACCTGATTCATCTCCAAACCTTCATCAGGGAAGTCTTCCTCATGATAGAGCATCTTATTTCCGTCTTCTTTGATCTTGAGAAGGCTTATGACACTACCTGCAGGTTTGGAATTTTGTGGGACCTTTATACTTTATACTTGACAGGCGATTCCAAGTCAGTGTGGGTTCGACCCTTTAC